TCCCCTTTAAATTCGCGTGATCTTTCTCTCTCTACTCTCACTCTATCTCTCTCTAGGGTTTCAGTTGGGCGCCGTTTGGATTTACTCAATCCCACAGTGTAATCTGCTGGTTACAATCTCATTCGCCGCATCTGCAATTTCAGGTAACTCACTCATTTTTTTTTCCAACTGATTAGAAAAATTGATTAGTTTTCTGTAGAACTGATTTTAAGCTTCATCTGATGTTCAATACTTGGAACTTTGATTGATTCGATTGTGGTTCCGGTATTTTGATTCACTTATTTGCATCTTATTGACTGCGTTTTGAGGACTTAGATCTAGTATGACCAAATGATATGCTCTGTTGGTTTTATTGAAATTGGAACTTCTCCAATTGATATAGTGATGCACTGTACATGAAGTAGGTTTTGTTGTGGATCGATATAGTGATCCTATGTTCATATGCATAAGTTCAGTAATTGCGGCTTCTTAAGCTGCTATTTGTGAACCTTAATGAGAGGTTTGCGTAAAGTCATTACTTCTGCTGTTTGATTGAGCTCTGGAGTGCTTTTTAACGAGGCAAAAGGATTGTTTACCCTGAACTGTGTTCATGAACTTTATTAATATACTTGCAACTGAGGATTTATTTTTTGTGAACAGCCAATCAACATACTTATAATGATTGGATTGGATATCAATGAGAGAAATATTCTAGACTTATTCTAACAATCATGTTGCATTCTTCAAATAATTCGACTTATTAATTTATTTGAGTTATTAATTAACAAGGTTAACTTTCCTCATAACAAACTTTCAAACTTTTACTCACGTATTCAATTAAGGTGATGTTTATGTTTTTATGGAATTAGAATTAACAAGAATGCATTAATAATTCTTTTAAAATAATTAAACAAGAGGATTAATATATTTCTATTTTAACTATGAGTCTATTCCCTAATGGTTGGTTTTGTTTTTCAATTGATGCTATATTTCTTAATTTGATATGTAAGGCCTCTGTTGATGTTGCTTCAACTTTTATGTGTCTCTTTTCTCTTGCTTATAGTGGACCTCATCTTTTTTTACATTGTGCTTTAGATTTATGAGGTAGTGTGGTTCACATTGAAGGGGAGTCTTGGTGTAACGGGTAAAGTTTCCCCGAGCTCTGGAAACAAGCTCTTGCAGAAATATAGGTTAAGATTGCGTATAATAGACCCTTGTTGTATGGCCTTGATCCCGCACATTAGGGGTGTCAAAAATGAACCCAAACATAGATAACTTGCCCAGAATTTTATGGGTTGGACTCAAGATAATTTGAATTGGGTTCAATCTCAACCCATTCAAGCTTAACTCATTTTAAAGAGAATCCTCAATTGAGCCTAATTCAATCTCCAATTTCAACCCGTTTTAAAACTCTTTACTAAGATATGTTCCTATATTAAAGGTATGAATTGTTATCTATTTAACATCTTTTAGGATTTATCTATCCATTTGTTGCTTTTTTAAAAAAAAATCTCGAGTTGAAATTTGAATTGTGATTATAAAAGTTAAATATCACTATGTTAAAATTATTGAGATTAATCGGGTCAAATTGCGGGTCAAGACCCAACCCGTTTTTTAGCCCATTTGAACTCAACCCATTTGAGTCCAAAGTAAACTTGAGCGGGTCAAGACCCAACCCGATTTCTATGTCAATCCATTTTAATATCTCCAATTTCAACCCAACCCGCCCATTTGACACCCCACCGCACATAGTTGGGAGCTAAGGGCGCGGGACTGCCATTTGTTTTTGTGGTTCACATATAGTTATGCAAGGGTTATATGTGCAAGGGCTATAATATTAGGATTACAATTATTAGTTGGTGCACATACATTCTTGTTCAACATTGGGTTCATAATCTGAAAGTTTTTAACTGGAAAAGAGATTTTTCGAATAATGTTGTTGAGTGTTGACATGTACTTCATTCCTTTGTCATTTTGAAGAACTGTGGTTTGGGTTAAAATGCCATTTAACTAGTGATGTTATAGCAAGCATTTTTGCCACTTTTTAATACATAATCAAACTAATTTGTTCCCTTGATAAATGTACAAGAAAGTATTCAAAAAGTTGAATTAAAATTTATTAGAAATCCTTACTATTTAAACAAGTAACTAATCCAAAAAAATACACTATTACTACTTTACAACTGATTTTAAGCTTCATCTAAATTCTAATGTTCAAATACTTGAACTTTGATTGATTCGTTCGTGGTTCTGATCTTTTGATTCACTTATTTGCATCTATCCTTGTTACTGACTGAGTTTTGGTTTGGAAGCTTATATTTTTTTAATTTCTTTTATTTGAGTTTGGACCAATGGTATCCTCTGTTATTCTATTGAAATTGGAACTTCTCCAATTGATATAGTGATGCACTTTACATGAACTGGGTTTTGTAGTGGATCCGCTTAATTCATAATTTTGAGTATGTTAAAATATGAATCTACACAAAATGTTTCAATGACTTTCTAGAATGACCCGTAAGGCCTTATATACTAGTGGGCCATTTGACCCGAAATTAAATCAACTACTATTACATAAGGGCAAAAAACGTAAGTATACTATTTTAGGAACAAAATAACAAAACATAATTTCACTCCATCTCTCTCTAGGGTTTTAGTTGGGCGCCGTTTCTGGATTATTCAACCCCTCAGTGTAATTTGTTGGTTACCATCTCATTTGCCGCATCTACAATTTTTAGGTGATTCACTCATTGTTTTCAACAACAATTCTTCATATCAGAAAAAATTGATTAGTTTTCTGCACAACTGATTTAAGCTTCATCTAATGTTCAATATTTGAACTTTGATTGATTAGTTTGTGGTTCTGATCTTTTGATTCACTTATTTGCATCTATCCCTGTTAGTGACTCTGTTTTGAGGACTGAGATCTGGTATTACCAATGATATGCTCTGTTATTTTATTGTAATTGAAACTTCTCCAAGTGATATAGTGATGCCTTTACATGAACTAGGTTTTGTAGTGGATCTGTTTAATGATCCTATGCATAATTTCAGTAATTGTGGCTTCTTAAGCTGCTATTTGTGAACCTTAATATGTGAGGGGTTGGCATGCAGTCATTACTTTTGCTGTTTGATTGAGCTCTGGAGTGCTTTTAAACACACAAAAGGATTGTTTTTACTGAGCAGTGTGCATGAACTTTATTAATTACTTGTAGCTGAGGATTTTTTTTGTGGTTGTTGCCTTCTATGCACACGCAAGATAAAACAGGCAATCAGCACACTTGTAACGATTGGATATTAATGAGAGAAATATTCTTGACTTATGGTTTATTCTAACAATCATGTTGCATTCTTCAAATAAGTTGACATACTAATTTATCTGTGTTATTAATTAACAAGGTTAACTTTCCTCATAACAAATTTTCAACTTCTACTAGCCTATTCAATTAAGGTAATGTTCATATTTTCATGGAATTAGAATTAACAAGAATGCAGTAATAACTAATAATTAAACAAGATGATTAATATATTTCTATTTTAATCATGAATCTATTCCATAATGGTTGGCGACATTTTCTAATTGATGCAATATTTCTTAATTTGATATGTAAGGCCTCTGTTGAGTCTGCTTCAACTTTTATGTGTTTTTTTTCTCTTGCTTATAGTGGATCTCATCTTTTTTTACATTGTGCTTTAGATTTATGGGGTACTGTGGTTCACATGGAAGGGGGTCGGTGTAGCTGGTAAAGTTGCCTTTAGCTATGGAAACATGCTTTTGCAGAAATGTAGGTTAAGGTTGTGTACAATAGACCCTTGTGGTACGGCCCTTCCCCGGACCTTGCACATGGTTGGGAGCTAAGAGCATATGACTTCCACTTTTTTTGTGGTTCACATATAGTTATGCAAGGGTTACATGTGCAATGGATAAAGATCATCTTAGTCCATATTTTGATAAAGTTAAAACAAATAAAAATAAAAGTACTAGAGGTTCTGTATATTTTCTACTGAAATATATATCTTTGACATAAAGATTCCTAGAAAATATTGGTCCTAAATTTAATGTACTAACATGACTAAACATTAATCTTACTAATTGGTTTTGCCTACATAGATTATTTTCTTTTGTTGTTCCTTATTGATCACTAGGTCTTCAAGGATTTCAAGAGAGATGGTAAGTCTTTTGAGACAACTTTCTCCCATGTGATTTTAGGTCTACCTCATCTCCTTGCTAACACCTCCACTCACCATAGTTTATTTTGTGTGCTACTTTCACCTTTTGTCAAATGTGATCATTTTTAACTATATAATGGTAGATATTTTTCTTTTCATTAAGAATTTTTGCATTTTTATTTACTTAGAGCAAGGGACTTTCTTCTTATAATAATCTACTTCTCAAAAAACATCACTGTGAAATATTGTTTACCATGAAACCATGAAAGTTCCTTGCAAATCCTAGACTAGTGAAATGGAGAAATGGTTATTCATTTAAGATGGATAAACACAGGCTATTGTCAATATTATTTTTCCAACATATTACAACAAGTGGGTAGTGGCTTTCTGTGGTATTTTCCAAGAAAGAGTCTGAAGTCTGTCAGTTCTATGGCACATCCCTAGACCGATGCTTGTATCTTTCTCTAGAAGAGTTAATTACCCTAACTGTGATGTTCCTAAAAGTGACGTGCCTTTTGCTAGCAATATAAAAAATGTTTAAAGCATGAACCAATTTCTCGAGGGCTTGAACAACCACCAAGTTAGAATCAATGGTGTAACTCACACTTTTTGGTGGTGACCAGCATGCCCTTAATGCTAAAGAATACAATCTTACCAGTTTCAAAAAAAAAAGTTAGAATCAATGGTGTTATTTTTTTGGGTGCTTATGTAGGTATAAAATTATACATAGATTACCGTATAATTTATACGGTCTTCGCAGGTAGTGAGGATCTAACCAAGGTACTTCTATAGCTTGTTGAAAACTATTTCCAAACCATATAAGTTATACAATCTTACCTATGTAAGACATGAAAATGACAACCAAATGTGGAATACGGCTTTTATACCATGCTTATTTTTTTGTGGAGTCTGGGCCAGTTTGTGGGCACCTCGACTATTTCCACGGGTACCTGCTACCTCCCACCAACACATGTACTGGATAACTTTGTCACTTACTCTTGAACACACGAGAAAAAATTACCTTGTATTTTGCCTCCGCTGGGATTTGAACTTGATACCTCATGGTTCTCAACCAACTTCATTGACTACTAGGCTACACCTTTGGGTCTCATGCTTACTTTTTCAGCACTTTAAACCAAGCAATCCCTTAACATTAGCATTACTTTAAGTTCATGCTTATGATAATCCTGTGATATCTTACGTACGGGATATCTCATGATTTGGCAGGAACCATATTGCAATGGAAGTCACTCAGGTCCTTCTAAATGCACAATCAGTTGATTCAACAGTGCGAAAACATGCAGAAGAAACATTGAAACAGTTTCAGGAGCAAAATCTTCCTGGTTTCCTATTGTCTCTGTCAGGAGAATTGGCTAGTGAGGAGAAGCCAGTTGATAGTCGTAAGTTGGCAGGTCTAATACTAAAAAATGCTTTGGATGCCAAGGAACAACATAGGAAATATGAACTTGTCCAAAGGTGGTTATCACTTGATGTGGCTGTGAAGACCCAAATTAAAACATGCTTGTTACAGACCCTCTCTTCTCCGGCACCTGATGCTCGTTCAACTGCTTCGCAAGTCATTGCCAAGGTTGCTGGCATTGAGCTGCCACAGAAGCAGTGGCCTGAGTTGATCGGGTCGCTCTTGTCAAATCAACAGCTCCCTGCCCACATCAAGCAAGCTACTTTAGAGACACTGGGATATTTATGCGAAGAAGTTTCTCCTGATGTCATGGAGCAGGATCAAGTAAATAAAATCCTTACAGCTGTAATTCAGGGTATGAATGCTGAAGAAAAGAACAATGACGTCAGGCTTGCTGCTACCCGAGCATTATACAATGCACTTGGTTTTGCTCAGGCAAATTTCACCAATGATATGGAGCGTGACTTTATTATGAGAGTTGTCTGCCAGGCCACTCTGTCTCCTGAAGTCAAAATTCGGCAGGCTGCTTTTGAATGTTTAGTCTCGATTTCATCAACATACTATGAGAAATTAGCTCCTTATATTCAAGACATCTTTAGCATAACAGCAAAGGCTGTTAGAGAGGATGAGGAGCCTGTTGCTCTTCAAGCTATTGAATTTTGGAGCTCAATCTGTGATGAGGAGATTGATATTTTAGAAGATTATGGGGGTGATTTTACTGCAGATTCTGATGTTCCTTGCTATAATTTCATCAAGCAGGCTCTTCCTGCACTTGTCCCTATGCTACTGGAGACACTTCTTAAGCAAGAAGAAGATCAGGATCAGGATGAAGTTGCTTGGAATCTTGCAATGGCCGGTGGCACTTGCCTTGGTTTGGTTGCAAGGACTGTTGGAGATGACATTGTACCTCTTGTTATGCCATTCATTGAAGAGAACATTACAAAGCCTGATTGGAGGCAAAGAGAGGCCGCCACATATGCCTTTGGATCCATTTTGGAAGGTCCTTCACCTGATAAGCTAACACCCATTGTTAATGGTGCTCTAAACTTCATGCTTACTGCATTGACAAAGGATGCCAATAGCCATGTGAAAGACACTACAGCATGGACCCTTGGAAGAATATTTGAATTTCTTCATGGTTCAACTGTGGAGATACCCATTATTACTCCAGCAAACTGCCAACAGATCATTACAGTTCTACTTCAGAGCATGAAGGATGCTCCAAATGTTGCTGAAAAAGCCTGTGGTGCTCTCTATTTTCTTGCCCAAGGTTATGGGGATGTGGCTGCATCATCTCCCTTGACCCCTTTTTTCCAGGAAATGGTGCAATCCCTTCTCACAGCGACCCACAGAGAAGATGCTGGTGAGTCACGGCTTAGGACTGCTGCATACGAGGCACTGAATGAAGTTGTGAGGTGTTCGACCGATGAAACAGTTCCCATGGTTTTGCAACTAGTTCCTGTCATTATGATGGAGCTCCACCAGACTCTTGAGGCTCAGAAGCTTTCATCTGATGAACGTGAGAAGCAGAGCGAGTTGCAAGGTCTTTTGTGTGGATGCTTACAGGTTATTATTCAGAAGCTAGGGTCCTCAGAGCAAACAAAGTATGCTTTTTCGCAGTATGCTGATCAGATCATGAGCCTTTTCCTCAGGGTTTTTGCATGTAGAAGTGCTACTGTGCATGAGGAAGCCATGCTTTCCATTGGAGCACTTGCCTATGCAACTGGTCCCGACTTTGCCAAGTACATGCCTGAATTTTACAAGTACCTAGAAATGGGTCTTCAGAACTTTGAGGAATACCAAGTCTGTGCTGTCACCGTAGGTGTTGTGGGTGATTTATGCAGAGCTTTGGAGGATAAGATCTTACCTTATTGTGATGGTATAATGACACAGCTTCTCAAGGATCTATCAAGTAATCAGCTACATCGTTCTGTAAAGCCACCAATATTTTCATGCTTTGGTGACATAGCCTTGGCGATAGGAGAGAATTTTGAGAAGTACTTGATGTATGCCATGCCTATGCTCCAGAGTGCTGCGGAGCTGTCAGCACGCGCAACTGGTGCTGATGATGAAATATTAGATTACACAAATCTTCTGAGAAATGGCATCCTGGAGGCTTATTCCGGCATATTTCAGGGATTCAAGAACTCACCTAAGACTCAGCTGCTGATACCCTATGCACCTCATATCCTCCAATTCCTGGATAGTATTTATATGGAGAAAGACATGTAAGTATTGCTTGGTTGCTTCTTTTTCTCTCTTTTGCTCTATTTATGAAGGCCATCGATGTTCTGATTTTCGGGATGTACCCCCTTTCTTCTCTCCAATTACAGGGATGATGTGGTAATGAAGACTGCTATTGGAGTTCTGGGAGATTTAGCGGATACTCTGGGCAGTAATGCTGGTTCTTTGATTCAACAATCAGTATCAAGCAAAGACTTTTTGATTGAATGCTTGTCGTCAGATGACCATTTGATTAAGGAATCTGCTGAGTGGGCCCAGATGGCTATTAGCCGTGCCATTTCAGTTTAAATTTGTGGGTACTTGGTACATACTTTTTTTTTTCATGTCCCTGCATGCATGTAGTTGTGTCGAGTCGGAATCCAAGATTGCATTCATGTGTCAAGTCATTGCCATTTTCTGACAATGGAAGAAATTTTCATCCAAGTTGTCAGATACATGTGCCAGCACCATTGGAGGGGTTATTTTGTTTTGCCGTAGAGGGGATGGGTCATGGTGATTGCCCAGGAGTTGAAGGCCTTTCACTCAGGAGTGGTTGCGATGTTACTGATGCTGTATATTGGGGTTGGAAGGGAATTTTCTTTGTAACTAGCTGAAGAAAGCAAGGCTCCTGGTTTTTGTCTTTGCTTGTGGATCTGACCTTGGTACTCTAACAAGAAATACCGAGGCCCTGATGTATCCTCTCTGCTTCAAGGGTTTTCATGGTCAACATGTACATGTCCCAAGTTTTGGTAGTCTTGATACTTAGCCATAGCTCCTTTTGATTTTTTTTTCTCACAAATATATATATAGATATATATATTTTTGGTCGGTCAGTCCGTGTCTTTGTCATATCAGCTGGATCGGTTTTATAGTTGAATTGCATTGCATCTCATGCATTTCTTTTGAATGACTTATTGTGGGTTTAGCTCATTGGCATTCCATAAGATTTCCTTCATATGTTTTTTTAAATCTCTTATATAAGAATTTTGCATTTTTGAAAAGCTAGTATTGGAAAAATACCGTTCAACCATGATTGCATGTATCATTTCCTGTTTACAAGTTTTTTTATTCACTTGGCTTTTAAAAGGACTGTTCTTTTGTTCGTGAAATTGTATAGTCGTGGTCTTTGAAGAACATGATGTTGAATGTCAACAATTTCGATGACATTTTAAGTTGGGAGTCACTTGTTTTTTCAAGTTTTTAGGTGCTGTACATTACATCCCTACATGCATATATGTTCTTTTGTTATTGGTGAGGTTTAGCCTGTGTTTTGTTTGTGTTTTAACATGGTATAAGTAATCAATCAAAAACTAACCTATCATTCCAAATCTTTAGATTTTACTTGTGGTAAAACATTTGTAGAAATTTATTAGATCGTCTTATTTATTTCTATGGTGGGAGTTGAACCTACAAGGACTAGCTGATGGTTACACCTCTTTATGAACAATGAGTAGTGTGTTACAGTGTTGAAGTAATAGTCGAGTACTAACAAATATTATACTTGTGAAATGAGAAAAACATGTCAAATGTATAGTGGTGCCTTACCTGTATTCTTACTTGGACATTTCTTCTCTCTTTGCTGCGATTTGATTTTGAACTTGAAGAAGTTAACCAAGATTTTATAACAAACTTTTGAGTATATAGTTGAAAAATAATGGTCAAAGAAGATGCTTAGCTTTTCATATAATAAAATTAAGATATAGAACGTATCAATCTTCCCATTCGTCATTAAGATGAGTATGATTAATTCTGTTTAATTAGTAATCCAACATTAAGGGAGTATCCAGTACAAAGAAAAATATTTTTCAATTCTTCTTTATTAAAATTTTTGAAACAAAATTCTTAAATCTAAGTTTTATAATGGTGTTCTACGTTGATTTGTCTCTCCATAGTATCATAGTGCACTTCCACTTCCCTTGTGTCTTTTACCTAATTTCAACCCTCCCAAAAGGAAAAGAATAAGTTTTCTTTTTATTTATTTATTTATTTATTTCATTTGTTGGTCACTGCCCATCTCCTGTCACAAGCAAGGGGCCTTGTCCCCTTGATCACTTCGTGTTAGTGAAATATTACAAAATATAACAAAATTACAATTGAAAATAAAATGAAGAAAATAAATCTCTTTAGGCTGAGGTGCGAATATCTCACTCTCTTTAAGTAGATTCAAGCTCACTGTAGCAAATGTTTTTCACCGGTCCAGCAATAGTCCTTCTTGACTTGTCCCCTCCAGGATACAACAACCTTCACAAAGTATAACTCAACAACTCTGGACAAGAGTTGAGTCCAAAGCTCCACAAAAAGAATACCTCCCTTCAACTAATAAGAACTCTCTTTTTGACAAATTTTTGCACTCTATATTTTCTCTTGTATGTTGTGTGTCACAAACCAAATGAAGACCACCACTATTTATACTAGAAGAAGTCTTCCTAGCAATGAATAGAAAGATAAATAGTGAAGATAAAGGCCTTAGGAGTTACATCGATTATAAGGTATAATGGAGGAAGAATAATGAAGAATGAAGAATGAATGGCAAAGGCCACCAACGGCTAAGAGTGCTAACAAGAAATGTTGTAACATAACAAACAATAACTCCAAATGGAGTAATGCAGCAAATAAGTGCCACCAACGGTCAATGTCAGAAAACGTCAAAGTAATGGGCAATTAAAACCTCAAAACATTGATTCCAAAATACAATCAAAGTGGCCACTGACATCTGATAGGAATAGCTGCAAGAGGAATGGGAAATATGCACCTTAACCATTATTTACTAATATTAAAATGCTCCCAAACCAACACTTCGTAATGAACACATGAAATATACTCCCGTTACAATTTATATGAAAACAAATTTTAAAAGTCAATCAATTTTTTTAATCGAAATCTTTTATGTTTGTTAAATTGTTAATTGTTGTGATTTATATTATTTTTTACGTAGTTTTTAAATGTATAATTTTTATTTAAAAAAAAATTTAAGTTTCTATATCTGAATTTACGATCAGAATTAAAATGTTTGAATCTCGAAATTTATCCGTGTCACGTAAATTAGGAGTGAGTATTTTTCTTTACCACTGAAGAAAGAAAGACCAAATGTGATTGGTTTTTTAGAAAGTAGTTGCTTTGCTTTGTATTACTAACTCTTTTTTCTTCTTCTTCAGTTTCCTCTACACTAACAACAAACATGAAGATTTCTTTCTCAAGTAGCAGAATAAGCATATCCAAACTTTTGAACCGTATTGATCGAACTCTTCAAAAATATTGTTATACCTATGTTGGATACCCGTCCTTTTCTAGATGGATGAATCCACAATATGAGCTATTGTTATAGGCCAAGGAAGTGGAAAACAAATTTAGTTCTCAAAAAGTTGATGTACATGTACACACAGAAAAAACAGGAAAAAAATAGCTGAAAATTATAATGGCAGAGCTTGGTGATAAGGACAAAATAATGATGGAAGAAAGTAATCCACATGCATACAGCAGATATACTGTTGCTTCTGTTTTGATACACTGAATTCAAATAAGTGTCAGTTTGACTTGTTAGTTATGGCAACTTATCATTCTATGACTATTGGGTGGGTGCATAATCAACATTTATAACCGCTTTATCATCTCAAAACTGTTAAATTGTACAACTATCTCATATAAAAACTTAAAACTATTTGAGAAATTACACTATGTTTACTTAATCAAGTCGTAAAAACACTCCATCAGGCACAATATGCTTGATTATTCTTATGGGCCAAACACGTGTTATAACGCCTTATAGGGCCTTATAGGACCTTTACCTGCTTTAATACCATCCAAAATGAATGGAGTGGTTTAGGACATTATAAACTCCGAAAACCATTTACACAACATATGAGAGAGAGTGACAATTATAGTATTTCAAAGCTTGAGCCATGCAAATTGCAATGCAAAGAACAAAGAGAGATTGATCAAAATATGAGTCTACAATAATACCTACTTTTTTTTTCTTTTCTATTTTACTTTGATGTAACCTGTAGATATATGTGCACTATATTCTTTTCAGTGCTGGTTTGACTTGCTAGTTCTGCCTATACATACAGTAAATGAGTGGGTGCACTATTACCACTACCAGAGGCCAACATAGTGCTTTAGTTACAAGGACATCCAAACCTACTTAAAACCATGTATATGAGTTAAAAAGTAAAAAAATAATAGATTTCGAACCTGGTAAATGGGTGGTGGTAGAATCTCGAACTCGATCCCATAATATTTAAATCCTAGATTAGCTCTGCGTCCACTACCTCTTCCCAGACATAATAAAAGGGGTAACTCTTCCATTCTTCCCCTTCACATCTCAAGAACCAATCTCTCTACTTACTATGAGGCCTAGGATCAAAGCTCTCGTTCTACTCCTTTTGTTTCTCATCTTTGTTTCTTCTGGTAAGAAGCTACTTTCGTTATAATATGACGACAACAATTCAACTAGCTTGATTTACACTAGCAAATGACATAATAATGTTAACACTATTGTTTCTCATTCTTCTTTGTGCCATCTAGGTGATCATGTTGAAGGCGTGAACCACACTTACAAGCTTCATAAGGTAGTCATAGGGGAGTAAATTTATTTGATTGGCATCATACCATGCTTTAACTAACGAAATGCAACTAGTAGATAGTGCAACTTCTTCTTTTTTGGTGAAAAAAAATATGGCATTTGGGCCTAGCTCATGATGAGGATTGTCCAAGTCCACATAAGCAGAGTACTAGTCCATTACCCAACCGATGACAAGCAAGCCCACAAGGGGAGCATTGTCTAAATCCATATAAGCAGACCATCAGTCCATTCTCTGATCGATGTGGGATCCTAACCCACTCTAAAGATTGAGATATAGTGCAAAAAGTTGAGATATACTGCAACATACGACTAACTAACTTCCTGCAGCTTATGTTTTCCTCTTAAAGTTTCATCCATTTTCTTGCATATAGCATACCAAGACTGTAGACAACTTCCTAGATTATTTTATTTTGGTGCATAGAGTCATGAAAACTCTTGATGTCGCTGATTAATCTTTGTTGCAAATTGTGTGCAGCATGTTATGCGAGAAAATCCAAGAAAGTTGCTGCAGCTGGATGCTGTGTTAGATTATGACAATGCAGGACCTAACACGAAGCATGACCCAAGAGGAAAGAAAGGCAGTGGCAGTGGCAGTGGCAATCACCCGTGATTTCTCTGTTTTTCCGATAATCAAACAAGATTGTAGACTACTCTAAATTATGGAGATTTTGATCAATCAACGGTGGAGAGATAGGACATAGCATTAGCTTCGTATGAATTTCTTTTATGTTTGATATATTGTTGTAATATCCTTGCCCTTAGAAAGTGGTGAAAGCAAGTGAAATGAAGTTAGCTAATTGTGACTAAAGCTTCTTTATATATACATACAACTACTGCAATTCCATCGAATTGTTTAACACGGTTGATGAGCATATTCTAAATGATACAAAGCTGATTGGGACTAAAGCTTGTCAGCGGTTGTGTTTGTTGCAGCAGAAGCAAATTTCATCGATCTGTCTGCCTGTTTACAAGTAAAACCAAACAGAGAAAACAGCTAAAGGATAATCAAAATGACTTCATCAGTATATAATCCTGAAGATGTAAACCATTAACTACTAAAAAACAGAAGTTTATACTCTAGCTAGTCCCTAAATCACTCCAATCGAAATTACTACTTAATTGACCTTTTTGATGTGTTTGTCACATTTACCACAAAAAGGAAATAAGTGCCTCGACTAAAGCAATTACTGAAACAGTTACTGGACAAATTCATGCATACTATGTGAAAACAACCGGGAAAAGGAAGAGTAAATAAATTCTTTATAACTAGTATTGTAGGGCTTAACCCCAAAGGGAGCCCTTCCAAAAATTCTCGACGGCCAAGGCAGAACCCAGGCCGAAGAGGGGGTTTGGAAATAGTTTTCAACCAGCAATAGACGCGCCTCGGTTAGAACCTCACTAGCTGCGTCATTGCCCCAAGCGCAAAGATACTTCATACTGCTTCCAGATTTGGATTTTATTAGACTCATTTCTATATTCAGCTTCATCTATTATCAATGTGGGATAAACTACCAATATATTGTAGTATCTTTGTCTTGGCATGATAAGAGATGCTCATGAATTCCTTAACTTGTTCGGCTAGTGGCTATCTGTTGTCAATATTTTAAAGGACTGAGAGGTGAAACAAGTTAACTGAATGTTACATACTACTTGAAGATGTCAATTCAGACAATGCAAAACACTTGCTGAACCATGAATATAGGCAGTGAGCATCAATTATAGTCTGGTTTCAATAAGAGACGGATATAAATTTATATTCCAACTGCCTAAGGGGATAGCACGGTTGACAACCATATTCTACAGGTCGTGCACAAAAGTTTGTTGATCCCCTGTTTACAGGTAAAGTTCAAGTAAAAGATAATTACAATGACATTACAACTTTATCGGAGAAACTTCAATTGTAGCAAAATCCTGAAGAAGTGGACCACTAATTAGTACATGACAGAAGTCAAATTTTTTGCCCAAAAAGGCTGAGGCACATGATTTTATGCTGTAGTCCCAACTAATTTTAGTGAAATTACATGATGTTATTTAATGGATCTTTGATCCCATGATCGTTTGATGTCCTCGTCAGAACCTTTTTGGTGTTGCCTTTATGATATGATTAAATGGAATTTGACTACAAACTTTGACAATATGAGCTACTGACAAAATAGTGCATAGAGATAATGGACCTTTTACAACCAAAAGAGAATAAGTAACTCTCTAATGGAGTAGCAAATTTCTGAAACAGTTAATTCACTCACAAGTCACTTGCCGACGCAAACAGTCATCTCAACTCTGGATTCGGGAAACAGAACTGTACACTTTCTTGGCCTGTTTATGTTGGCATTTGTGCTTTTTATGTATAGAGATCTGAAACCATGTTCTATAGAAGCAGTACAACTGAAGCTTCAAGTTTTGGAAAATTCGGTCCACCTGGTGATTGTAGCACATTTCCTATGTTGTAGCATATCCAGTCATCAACTCATCATGCCAGTATTGCCACTACTAAGCTCCATTTTTTTGTAGGACCTATTCCCTTAACTGCATATTCAAGTATGAACCCCAGAAAGAGAAGAGCAATGTCTACTCATATTGTCACACCGGCAAGGACTTTCACTTTCTAAATAGGTAGGAACGAGATCAGCCCCATCATTCACAAGAGTAGAAGTTTATATTGGCACACTGACAAGGACTTTCTATTTAGATGAAGAGGTCAGGCCCATCTTTTACAAGATAAATGCTATAGAATATATAGTTTAGAGTTGCTTCAGATTTTGATAACTAAGGTGTCTGTCTATGCCATAAGAAGTGATATCGCTTCAACATTTACTCATGGTCCCAAATGCCTTGAACTCTTTTATCCTTGCGCACTAGGCAAAGGGAAAAGAACCAAGTACCAAGGCAAAATTTTTAAAACTAGTATTGTAGGGCAAAACCCCGAGGGGAGCCCTTCCAAAAATTCTCGACGGCCAAGGCAGAGCCCAGGCCGAAGAGGGGGTTTGGAAATAGTTTTCAACCAGCAATAGACGCGCCTCGGTTAGAACCTCACTAGCTGCGTCATTGCCCCAAGCGCAAAGATACTTTCCAAGTCTTACCTGCTATCGATTTTATAAGGCTCGTTTCTCTATGCTTCTTCTTCTGTTATCGATGTGGGACTACTGACAAACCACCTAATAGCTGAATTACTTATGTATGTCAGATAACTGGCTGATTACTCTTTTCTTACGTTGTGCAAATTTTCTCCCACTCACTTTCCCTCGGAATAACAATTACCTCCAATCAATATATTTTTTGGCTTGTTGGACTTCTTATACTATATGTTAAAATCTCATCTTATAAGGTAAGAATTTGAATATGGTATTAAATTTATGTTTGGCCAAAATATATGAAAATAACATTGCAGTAGAAAATGTGAAAATAGCACTTTCTCCGTTTTAATTTGTTTGTTCTGTTTTGACTTTGATACGAAGTTTAAGAAAATAAAGAATTTTTTTGAATCTTGTAATGTTAAATTAAAGATACATCAAATATACTATAATGTCACTCTATTGTGTATGAGGAGAGTATACTAATATCATGGATTTCTAAGTATTAACGGGCCGTTTGGTTACTGTATAAGTTACATTTTATCCATGTATAAAAAGTTGCATTACTTTTACCATGTTTGGTAGAATTATTTTTTTAGGTGGAAAAGTCAACATAACTTATACCATGTTTGGTTGGTAGAATTCTAAATATTGTATAAAAGTTATTTATGTGTTAATTTTATACGGTGTTTGGTTGTGTTTTTTGTAGTCCTACATAATTAATACCAACATAACTTATGAGGGAATCTATGTATAAGTTATGCAGGGTAGAAGGTGGAATAAGTTATGCAGGTTTAGTTATACATGTATTAAAATAGTAAATTACACATTTACCCTTATTGATTTATTTTTAATTTATTTTCTATTGAAAATGTTATCCAACTATGCTATTTTCCTAACTTTTTTTTAATACACGAACAACTTCTTCTTTTTTCTGTTTTCATTTGAAATCCAAATGTAATATTTTATTAATATTACAAATTGAATATTATATAGCGTTATATATTATTAAATATATTCCACTTCTTTAATTAACATGTATTATTATTTTGTTTAGGATGTGAATTTATACATAATTCATTTATTTGGTATATTAAAACTGTATAAACAATATATACAACATATTGATAGAATATTTACATTATATAAAATAGGATATTATAATGTACTTGAAATATATTAATCGTATTTTATTTTTATAAGTTATAAACATAAAAAAATAGCAGTCCCAATTAAGTATAGAGGGAGAATTTTTTTTCTTTACTTTTTATTCAAAAAGAGGGAGAATTTATACTATTTGCTTACTTATTTATTTGTAAGTAATATATATTAATTTACAACAAATTCAATATTTATTAGTTAATAATTTATGCATTGTGATCTCTACATAATTAAATAATATATGCATAACTAATACTTGCATAATTAAACCCTGCATAACTAAATCCTACATAACTAATACCTGCATAATTAATACCTGCATAACTAATACCTGCATAACTAATACCTGCATAACTAATACCTACATAACTAAACTCTACATAACTAATACCTGCATAACTCTAACCAGTAACCAAACGGCCCCTAACAATGCAAATGATTTAATACATGCATTAATATGGTTAAAGACCCAATTACCCCTCAAAAGTACTTCTACATCTTTTCCACCATAATTATGAAGGATACTTTTGTAAATAAATATTTTTATACAATGCATACTATTTTTAATACATCAACCCAAACAATGCATAACAAATAATCTATGCATAACTAATACAAGTATAACTATTACATGCATTACTAATACACTCTATTGGGTATTATTTTTATACACTCTACCAAACGACCACTAATATGTTGTGATCTTAAACACAACATCTAAAAAATTTGAGTTAAGAGGTGCTAAAAAAAATATCAAAATGGAGGTGTGTACAATATGAATTCTTATACCTCTATTTATATAGTATTACATGGAGGTAGAGCCGTCAAAATGGGCTTAGCCCATAGGGGCGTCCCAACCCTACCCGTTATTGGGATAAGGTTGGGATATGATTTTTCAAGCCCATTTAAAAATTAGGGCTTATAAGCCCGGCCCATATAAGCCCTTGGCCCTTGAGGCTTGATTGGGGCTGGGCCGAGGTCAGCCCATGGGCCAAAACTTTTTATTCAAGAGTAATTTACAATAATCTCACTAGTATATAATCTAATAATTTGAATACACGCTATGTTGTAATATTATGAATCTTCGTACCCAAATACATGTATCTCAGAATATATGGGCTCAAAATTAGGTTAATTTGTTCTAGATACACTCTATCAAAGTAGATTCACATGTATCTACGATACATATACAAATCTCGCACCCTCGCCTCCCTCCCATATTGCTTGTCACTTTCTTATCTCACTCGCATATCTGGTATGCGAGATACATGTTAATTACACTAAATTTTTGCTAGTGTTATTGAAACAACACCATTATTTGTCATATTTGATTTGGAAATCTTCTCATTTTCTTGATGTTATAAAATTACAAGTTTGAAAAAAAAAAGGCTAGCCCGCCCCAGCCCTCGGCCCTTCTAGGGTTGGATTGAGTTGAGCATTTTCAGGCCCTACCAAATGAAAGGGCGGCCCTCCCCAACCCTTTCCAGCCCTCCCTAGCCCTTCAAATTCCTTGGCCCACGAGGCTTGGGCCGGGTGGGGCTGGACCAACCCTTTTTGACAGCTCTACATAGAGGCATACAAATGATAGTCGTTAATATTGACATTAACTATAAAGGTTATGCAGGAAGATCATGGGGAAAGTGAGAAACGTGACATTAAGCCTTTGAAATCAAGAAGAAAATGAAGATTTATTTCTAGTGTACTGAACATATATAATTATGTCATAACATTTGCATATTTAAAATAACCATTTATTTGAACTTGTGCAAGAATATCTAATTATAATTATATCTGCAAGCAGGGGCTCCCATAGGTGAGGCCCTGTCGTGTACACGTGTTTCTGGGCTATAGGTTGCCATCCATTTAGCAGAAGTTTTTGGGTTTGGGCTTCTCGCAGATGAATCATAGCTCCACCTACGGGCTGTCACCTTCTTCGGTGTTGCATTCCATTGGGCCACTCCTGGTGGGCTTTTAGGTTTTATTGGGCCTGGGCTTCTTATTTTTGCTTTTGCAGATTTAGTTGGAGCCATGTAGCTAGGGACAGAATCCATGTTGGACTGAGTGGATGAATATGGGCTTCTTTCAACTGGACTGAGAATGTGATGGGCTAAGTTGACATCTTCTGAGCCCAATGGGTCCAATTCTACTGTCTTCTCTGATATGTCATCTGTGATGGACAATGACACATAGGAGCCTTCTCGTCGCACAGCATGTTGAGAAGCCATCCATCTATCAAGCCAATTCCAACTTTGTTGTGGATTTTCATGCTCATTGCAAAAACATTCTTCATCATCATCTGGATCAGAGTGCAACCATTTCTGTTGTTGCTAACATATAATTAGCCAATACAAATTAAGAGCATGGAGTTTAAGGGGGAAAATGACATGTTTTAAACTTCTAAGCTTTAGCGGCAATTAATTAACAACAAATGTTTAATTATTGTTAAATATGTTTTTTTAGATGCGATTACTAATGACAATTACATTTTAGCACTCTTTGTAAATGCTGTAAAAATATATAATGACATTGAATTTAATGACAATTAACTAATGTGGTAAATAGTAACACTACTCTTTGTCAGTGTGCATATTATTGTCACTCTAAGCTGTATTTATTGTAGTGATATGTCAAAATATTTGTGGTGGTTTATAGAACTTTTGAGATTCAACATGTCATAGTATTTGTGCAAGTATAAAAACTCCCTGTCAAGGATTAAATGAGAAGTGCTATGTTAATTATTTCTTATATACACCATTAATTAGCTATATATCAATATTATTAATCTTTGTATAACAATATTTGCGTCATACTTAGTCCTGCATGAACCAAACGACCCCGAGTGATTAGTGCATCTAATGTGAAGGTAGTTGCACTACATTAGTACTCCCTCTGTAACTCATTTTCCTTTTTAGTAGTTCAAAAGAAAATGATACATTTCTATATTAAATAATAATTTAATTTTAAAATGTTTATTTTACCCTTATATGAAATGATTTATAGCCAAACAATCATCTATCATTTATTTTAGATCATAAATTTCAAAAGTTTTTCTTTTTTAAACTTTGTCAAATCAAACAAGCTCATATAAAATGGAACGGAGGGAGTAAATATATATGACAACTTTTGCTATGTAAAGGCTAACCTGATAAGCGTGTTGTTTTCTTCTAGTGTTTTGTAGGATCTTTTCAATGCTTTGGTTCCTGTTATCCCAGCCTTCTGTCTCTTGTTTGTTAGACAGGCTCTTGTTCTTGTGCTGGTCTTCTCTAATAATCGAGTGCAATTTTACTTCTTCCACTTTGCTCTGCAGCAACTGGAGTCTTCGTGCACGTACTTTTGACTGTACCCGTACTAATGCTTGCATACATCTCATTGTTATTTGCGCTTGTTTCCGCACACTATGCCCCCTCACTAGCGCTTGCAGCTTCACCAATCCCCTCAGGGCACGCAAAGCACGTCTTGCCTGCAAAATTAGGCAAAATGTATATTTGAACACTACTTATATATAAGATGGATGATTGGCTTTTAATTTACCAGATATCCCCTGTAATATGATTGAATAAGGGTGGCAGCAATTTCCTCTTTGTTGTATCCATCTAATTTCACAATTTTTGGGGCCGTATAAGTTGCTACCGCAACACTGGCTTCGATGACATGAATATCATGATTTCGATCTTCAGCCAACGAAGATGATGAATTGTCATTGCTCTCTCGATTATTGGTAAGATCTGAAGAACTCTCTGCTGGAAATTGTTCAACTTCTGGAGCTTCATCTTGCCATTGGTTCTCTAATTTTTCCTTCTGATAACCATACAAAATCACTTCAATTGAAGGCTCTGAATTCTTAAACTTGTCCAGTAAATTACATTTACACACTTGAACTGGTGTTTATTTTGATGAATAATTAAAGACATGAGAGTATTAAATTTTTGGGAAGATTCTAGACGCGTTCTCAAACATCCATTATATAAGTAAGTCAACCATTTAAGTATGCCATCTTTTTTAATCATATGCAATAGTCTCAATAAACCGTACGTAAAACTTCATACATGTTTCTGATATGTATAATTATAGGAGACATATTTTATGTGATTAATTTATTTACTTAATGGTGTTTGAGAATACACGCAAAATATAAGCTAGGAGTGTCTAATTATTATTTTTTATCATGTGTTATAATGCTACTATATACACAAAATTATCATATATTATCAACGCAATCACATTGGAAGCCTTGCGATATTGAAGAGAGATATACTTGACTTCTTACGAGTATATTTTAAATAAATGATGTCATATTACCTAAAAAAAGTTATCACTTCATCTATTTGTTTAATAATGTCGAGAACTAGTAGTAGAAAAGGAAGGGAAGCGTGTAGTTATGTATGGTTAAAAAACGAACAATCGAATCAATAAATGTGTGTTATTATAAGGTATATAAATAAAAAATCAAACAATTAAACCAAAATTGCTAACAATCAAATCAATAAATATTTATTATTTGATTTGAATAACTTAAATATCGATTAAATTAATTTATTTTAATTGAAATCCAAACCAAATCGAACCGTGAGTACGTTTGATAGAAGAGGTGGATGAAAGCAACAAGTCATAAATTCTACGTTATTGCCTTTCGACAGGGGCCCTATTTTAGAGGGGACCAATATGTGTTCAAGATTATTAGTTAATGCCGTTTAGTGAGGGGGAAAAAATGGCTAACCAGTAGAAACTACGCAGGTCGATTTACCACAGATCCAGAAAAAGAGATGATCATATACAAAAATATGTTGCAATTTTTTTGATCATATAATTATATACCAATCTAAATTTTAATGCGCGGATTATGTATACAATATTTTTATAATTAGATCACTTAAAAGGTAATTGCAAAACTATAGTAAACTATTGCTATTATACTGTTAATGTGTATAACTTAGATCTGAGTAGTATTGCTTCCATTTGTATAATCTGATACTAACAATGCCAATCTATCAAATTAACTATCCTTTTGGAAGGAATAGAAGCAAACTAAACTAAAAATCATCGATAATTTCGTTTTAATCCTATGCAATATTTATCGATGAGAAGAGTGAATAACTAACCTTTTTATGATCTGCTGGTGAATAATCCTTAGAAGAAGGTTTAATAAAGACTTTCTTCACAGTGGAAAACCAACTACCACTTCCTTTCTTCCCCATTTTCAGCCAAATAAATTTATTTTCTGCCTGGAAACATTCAATTCAGAATATTGGAAAAAGAAAAAAAATAGCAATGAATTAATCAAAAGGAAAAAAAAACATGGGAGTATGATCTCTGTGTACCATAATATATTATGAATGAGAAAAATGAAGAATTAATAAGTGGGGTATTCTGCAGAAAGAATGTACCAGATGCTAATAATGAGATCACTAATAGAATATGGTTGAAGTAGTTAGATGGGAAAATGGGTGATATATATATAGCCTTTTATGATTTGTATAAATATAAAAAATGACCTTTGTAAAGATTCTATTCTTTATTCTTTTACGTGTAAAATTAATGTTTTAGTAGAAATATATATATATATAAAAAAAAAAAAACTAAAAACTACTCATATATACTATATGTCTTCGTTTAACTTGGTATAAAGTTTAAGAAAAAAATTTGAATCTTATTTTTAAAACTAAAGATTTTGTAAAATGTGTCATAATGAGTTTTAATTTTGTGGTTTTTACATGTCATGAGAGATGTTGAAATTAAAAAGCTGTCAAATTAGAAAAAAAAACATTCCTTTTTAAATAAATTAAAAAGAAAAGTAAGATAGATAAATTGAAACATAAGGAGTAATTTGTAAAGGGCTATAAACTTATTGACTTTTGGGAACAATAGTCAGAGGCGGATTTAGAATCATGTTTAAGGGTTCACGGAACCAACAACTTTTTTTTCTTATTATTATCTATTGATTTATTAGTTAATTAAGTTTTATAAATATTTAAATATAAATACAATTATTAATATAATATTAATTGTTAATGTTACTATAAAAATTCATAAACTTCAAATTTTGAATTTATATTTCTACGACATGCTAGAACTTCGCTTGCCGTTGGTATTTATCACTCTCACAAGGTGTTTATGTGTAGTAGCTTTTATGTAACCAAAAAAGAAAGGATAAAAGGTGTAGTAGCTTTCCTCCACTCTTTGTTCTCTGTGTTAGTTACAATGACTTTAGCTGACAATTCTACACAAAGTTGACTTCCAACAAATTGGCTTCTAGTTCCAAGTATGTGCACTGCCCTCATTCTCACGAAATGTAGATTATGAATTAAGATAGTAAATTATGGAATTATTTATTTGACTCTATACTTACTTTTTAGTGTATATTAGTTATAACTTTAGTCGTTTTGTGTGAGGGATAAGAACCTGGGATAAAAAAATAGTTTTGGGATAAAAATTTGGTGTCTTGTTTGGTTGTCATGTTTGGATTTACTTATCCCACAATTTATACCATAGTGATGGGATAAGTTATCCCATATACATGATGGGATAAGTTATCACAGGATAATTAATCCTGGGATAACTTGTTCCCAACCAAACAATTAAAAGACTTTGATCTTAAAATACTAAATTTTTGTCCAATGCGCAAACTCATTAGTGGATAGATAGGCAACTAACTTTAAGCTACGCCATACTAATGCAATACTATAAATCCAACTAAGGCCTCATTTGTTTGCACTTAATGGAGATCTAAATCTAAATGGTTCAAACATTGGGTCATTAAGTGCGTTTGTTACTCTCTTTTTAAAAAAAGAAAAATCACTTAATGGGTCTGAAAACATCTGATTCACTCGGATATTTCTATTCAGACTCTTTTTAACGCTAATTTATATCCTTGCAAAACTCAAACATCCTTATTTTTTCTCCCTATATATGTTGCCGTCTCTTCCACTCTCTCCATTATCACCATGCATTGTTATTTTTTCTCTTATATGCGTTGCTCTCTCTCTCCATCTCTCCATTATTACTCTTTCAGCTCGGAGTTGAATTTTCTTCCTCTTGAACAGGTATGTTTTCAAAAAACTTTTTATAAATACTTTGTTATTAATTAGTATCTTTGAAATATTCTTGGTATTACTGTTTGCTTCTCAAGAACTCTAAAATTTTACTTACAATTTTAGATTTTGTTTATAAAATTTAGTAGTCTCGTGTGCTTATTTGATAATACAAAGTCTGTGCTAGAAAAGTTTGGTATTATGTTTGTTTTTTTTTTCTAAAAGAAAATGTGATGCCAAGAACCTCTCAATAAAATTAAAAGCCTAACACCAAATTATAAAAGGAGACCTTAAATATTTACACACATGCATAAAAATATTATTAATTTAGGGTTGCCTTTTTTATTCTTAGATATTACTTGTTTTTTGTTTATATTTTCAAAAGGCACCAATCATTTAACTTCATATTGTAATATTAGTATTTATAAAACTAAGAACTAGTTCTAGTTAATAAGAGGTTCGACGTTTGTTTGGTTAGCCTTTTTTTATTCTTATATATTTTTGGATCTATCCCCAATAACGTCTCAATATATAAAATTAGTAGTGTAACACCAAATTATAACAAATTATAACACAAGAGAGCGATTATTAATTTAGGGTTGTCTTTTTTTTATTCTTACATACTACTTTTTTTTTTTGTATTCTCACTAAGCGTTTAACTTCACATAGTAATATTATTATTTATAAAATTAAGAACTTATTCTAGTTAATAAGAGGTTATACATTTGTTTGGGTTGCCTTTTTTATTCTGATATGTTTTTGGATCTATGCCAAGAACTTCTTCAAATTATAACACGAGGATATTTACACACATGTATAAAAAAATTATTAATTTGAGGTTGTTTTTTAAAATTCTTACATACAAACCGAAACTATTTATTTAAAAATATTAAATTTTAATCACGTAATAATTTTTTAAAATTATTTTATTAGATAAACACCAAAATATAATTTTATTTGAATTATATAGTTATTATGCTTATATAGTTATGAATTATATACATTCAAATACTAAAAAACAAACAGTCTTAAGCATTCAGTGTTCAGATCTAGAGACAACATTTTAATCATTTAGATGTACATTCAGATTCAGAGGTTTTAATCTTAATGAAAACAAATGAGGTCTAAGTTATATTGTACAATTAGATATATGTGGTCATGATGAGGAGTAGGAGTATTACTTGATGGTACGCGATGTCGACATTTAAATAAGTTGTCAAATCGAGCCTAACTCAAAATCAGATATTTTTAAAGATAAAAGGGAGTCATTTTATTATAAACAAAAAAAATGAAAATCCATCACTATAAAGGTCTGAACTCGTGCTGCATAGTTTACTAGTAGCGCACTTGCCACAGAGCTAGGAAGCTCAAACGTTGAAATAAAGTCATTTTTATTAAATTTCTCTGTTCACTTTTACCATATATTATATATAAAAAAAAAATTTGATCAAGAAGTGTCGGGTGACACCCCTTTATATAACGTGTGTCCGTCCTTGATAATAGTGATCAACACTTGGAAAGAGACATGGAGAGTTAATGAATAGATCGCAAATTGAGCATGAACCGCCATGGACGTCTGCAAGGTCTAACTCGGAGGTTCATGTACGAGCTTTATTTGAATCAGGACATGAAGAGAAAGAGAGTTAGTTATTAGCTTTTCTTATGCAACATGCTTAATGGTTTTCATGATGATTTAATTAGAGGCGGATCCAAGATTTAAAGGTTATGGGTGTCATATCGTCATTTCAAATAGACGTGTTCATTAAATCAATTAAATATTTTACCTATTTTTGATCTTGTAAATAGCAATTTCGTACGTCGATTCGGCTATTCGTCTTTTTAGTTTCTAAAGACAAATGAATCAAAAAAATAAATAACTTATGATAACTTGGCGCAAAGAAAAAAAAATCCAACAATATCCTCTATAATGACACTAGGTGAATTTTCATAATCTAAATACACTTAATAATGACATAATTATTTATATTTATTAATACTTCACACCCTATGTAATAGACTTAATATAAAGTGGCTGAAAAAAATTTCACATACATAATTTTAGTGACATAAACGAAGTCATATGTTTTTTTTCCCCAAAAAGATTGCATTTCATTCATCTTCAACAAACATAACAATGATTTGAGGGAGTATATACAAAAGGTGATCTAACCCTCCCTACTCAATAAGAGGATATGAAGCTATCCTATTTGAGATGAAGAAAATGCAAAAAAGTTAAGGATGGTTACTTGGTCATATAACAATGAAGCCATGAATCATATATCATCAGTGGAATACCTATATCTATACAAAAGACAATCAACCCATCCTTACCTGGATTCCATATAAATTTTTTTGAATTTGAAACTGGCCAAACACCACCTGTATATTGTCATTAGACCCTTAACCTCAGCAGGAAGATCAACAAAATTCTTGTAAAGCTTATCGTAAGGGGTTGCATAACTCATAAAGGACAATTTACCTGCCACTTTATTTGCTTCTCTAAAACAATGTTGAAGAATGTAGCCAGTGCTTTCCATATGCATTTTCAATCTGTCCACTTCCTCTTGAATTCTCCACGAGGTTGAATTCAAGTAATTTACACTTATCAACCAAAAGCTTAGAATCACTTTCTGCTAGAATAAATTCATATCCACTGTTGATGCACCAATTGATCCCAAACAACAGTGCTTTAACCTCTGTCATATGTTAAAATTTTGATTCACAACAATAAAATTCTAAAAATACCAACAAAATCTTATGAGGTTCAGTATATTTTTCATGTCGTCCTTTAATGCAAAAATGCATTTTATTTTGTAAATTAAATTCTTGATAGCAAATAGTCTTGCCAATCGAGTGGGCATTTAACAACCAAAAAGCTCATATATCATGCTCCAACATATATTGATATGATAAATCAGACAGATAGTCAATATTCGACTTCATGGCACCAGTACATGCATAAGTACTCATCATCTCACTTATACGGGACTCCCAACGCCCTTACCCCTTCACATCAGCATTTACCAACACAGACACTTTAAAAGAGTTTAGAAAGTCTCAACTTGCCTTAAGCCCCAAGCGCAAAATGTCCTGTGTTCGTGGGATTTGATGTTTGAGTAATATTTGTTTCTCACATTTTCTCTTACCTGCCTCCATGTTTTTGTTTCACATCTCTGTAGTCTCGAAGAACATTGTTGCTCCCCAGTATACATGCACACAAGTGTACGTGGTCGCTCAAGTAATATAAATTCTTAAAGAAACGAGTTATCGTTCCCAAGGGACTTATGATCAACTTATATTTGACACTTAACTCTACAAATAAAACAAAAATAATTGTTTTCAGAAATTGTGATGACTGTTAACTACTACTAATTATGCAACAATTAAAAGTAACTAATTGTGAACGACTTTAAGATGATGTTTCAAGCAAGTAAAAGAC